AAAGCATTTGTGAAGCCACAACACGCACAACCTTGAGGCGGATGGGCTACAACAGCAGAAGACTCCACCGGGTACCACTCATCTCCACTACAAATAGGAAAAAGAGGCTACAATTTGCAAGAGCTCACCAAAATTGAACAGTTGAAGACTGGAAAAATGTTGCCTGGTCTGATGAGTCTCGATTTCTGTTAAGACATTCAGATGTTAGAGTCAGAATTTGGCGTAAACAGAATGAGAACATGGAACCATCATGCCTTGTTACCACTGTGCAGGCTGGTGGTGGTGGTGTAATGGTGTGGGGGATGTTTTCCTGGCACACTTTAGGCCCCTTAGTGCCAATTGGGCATCGTTTAAATGCCACGGCCTACCTGAGCATTGTTTCTGACCATGTCCATCCCTTTATGGCCACCATGTACCCATCCTCTGATGGCTACTTCCACCATGTCACAAAGCTCTAATCATTTCAAATTGGTTTCTTGAACATGACAATGAGTTCACTGTACTAAAATGGCCTCCACAGTCACCAGATCTCAACCCAATAGAGCATCTTTGGGATGTGGTGGAACGGGAGATTCGCATCATGGATGTGCAGCCGACAAATCTGCGGCAACTGTGTGATGCCATCATGTCAATATGGACCAAACTCCCTGAGGAATGCTTCCTGCACCTTGTTGAATCTATGCCACGAAGAATTGGGGCAGTTCTGAAGGCAAAAGGGGGTCCAACCCGTTACTAGCATGGGGTACCTAATAAAGTGGCCGGTGAGTGTATATATATATATATATATATATATATATATATATATGAATTTAATTTAATGATAGCGGTACTCAAGCTGACATGAATCTTAGATGTTCAATGTGGTCACAGACTTTCAAAGCCCACTGTATATAACTTAATGGATGAGTGTTTTGCAAAAGTTGAATTAACCAAGGGTTGTAGGTGGGCCATGTAACATGACAATGACCCATACAAATGAAAAAGCTCTCAAAAGGAAATAGAGAGTCGTGTAATGACCAAATCCAATCTAAACCTGTATGTTGATAAGTGACTGTACTTGAAGTACACACAAGAACATTCTCAAATATACTGAAGCAGTTTTAAAGGGCAAAAACTCAAATGCTGAAGGTCGATATAAAAAAGGCTAAGCTTTCTTACACTACTGTAAACAGGCCTTATCACATTGTCAGAGCACATTCATGTCAACCAGTCACGACCTGACAACATCCACCCTACCCTCCCTTTACATACAGTATAGTTCCTCAGTTCATGAGAGTGCTTATGTGTCAGAAGACATATTTTAGAATCTGTGCAGAAAGAACTTGTGAAAGACCCTTTGTGGAAGTGTGCAGATGTACTCCAAACAACCTGACATGAACATACCCTGGTCATCACAGTGCACATGTGACATTGTCAAACTGGAAATTATTTAAAAGGTTGTGATGCTGTGATGTGGTGACATCTAAGGCTTTACCAATACCTGGGCACACATGTGCTATTTATGGAGACAGGATGTGGGGTTTTGCTAGACCGTGTATATCTACTAGGGGTGGAACGGTACATGTATTCGTATTGAACCGAAACGGTACGGGCGTCACGGTTCGGTGCACGAATTTGCACGCAGAATACACGGTACAAATAAAAAAAACCTCTTAAATAGCGATGAATTTCGCTCTATTCGCTTTTGGTGTGACTGTGAACGCAGCAATGAACAGGCTGCGATCAAGATTGCAATGCAGGAGTGTGTGTGTGTGTCTGTGTGCGCGAGAGAGAGAGAGAGAGGCGCGATGAACAGTGTGTGTGTGTGCGAGAGAGAGAGGCGCGATCGAACAGTGTGTGTGTGTGTGTGTGTGTGTGCGCGCGCGTGCGAGAGAGAGGCGCGGTGTGTGTGTGTGTGTGTTCGCGCGCGCGAGAGAGAGAGGCGCGGGCGCGAATCGCGCGATGAACAGTGTGTGTGTGTGTGTGTGCGCGCGCGTGCGAGAGAGAGAGAGAGGCGCGGGCGCGACTCGCGCGATGAACAGTGTGTGTGTGTGTGTGTGTGTGTGTGTGTGTGTGTGTGTGTGTGTGTGTGTGTGTGTGTGTGTGTGTGTGAGTGTGTGTGAGAGAGGCACGGGCGATCGAACAGTGGAAACGTAAAAACATACTCCGTCATTTTTTTCATACAGGACATCATTAAAACTGCAAATTGTTTACTTATATTTGTGTACACTCGCAATAAAACACAACATTGTGCTTTTGTCACACTCTAAACTCTTGTCAAACTGTAACCTACACCTGTTAACAAAAGTTTTTATGGTAGTATTATTTTATACGGAAATCAATTATTTATAATTCAGATGAGAATAAAGTTAGTTAATTAAAACGAAGGAAAACAAATATCTTGATCTGAAATAGCAAATTAATTTTAAATTCATTCAGGTACAATTACCAAACATATCTCAAGGTCTTTTCGTCTTTTTAATAATTTAATTAATAAACTAATTGTATAAAACTACTGTCAGTGCACTACAAATAAACTGGTTCTATGCCTTTATTAATAAAACTTATTTAAAAAAATACAAGGCTTAAGACATTTATAAAAATGCCTTCTGCATTTTTGCTTTGTTTTCACTCCCTTGTACCGAAATCGTACCGAACCGTGATGTCTGAACCGAGGTATGAACCGAACCGTGACTTCTGTGTACCGTTCCACCCCTAATATCTACACTTCAGTGGCATGTAACAGATTATGCTGCAAGCACAATCTCTAACAAAGTCTCTCCTTGAAATAGAATAAAATTCTCAGTCTGAAACAACAATAGTATGTGATAAAAGGAGTTTTCTCCTATGGGAAATCCATGCTCTGCCTAATCATTTTAGTAGAGAGGAAGAGGTGTGTGTGTGTGTGTGTGTGTGTGTGTGTGTGTGTGTGTGTGTGTGTGTGTGTGTGTGTGTGTGTGTGTGTGTGTGTGTGTGTGTGTGTGTGAATATGCATGAATTTGCTTAATCTAATCCAATAGAAGTGCTGAGGTTTTTTTTGGAAGCAGCATCTCCCAAAAAAGTACGGAGCCAGAGCACTCCCTTGTGGTACTTAATAAGAACTTCAGCTAAACTTTTCAAACTTTAACAACAGTTGCCTGGATTTACACTGCTGAAGACAGGAAGGTACTCCAGTGATCAAAAAACAGTTTATATTTATATTGGTTTTCTTTTCATGTTTTCATGCATCTTACACTTCAGATTGTATTTCTTCAATGTCTTTTTTTGAACACACACACACACACACACAACACAGAAAATTCATGATTACAGTGTCACTTCATTTTAATTAAGCCTATCAAGATTTGCCAAATAATCAATTCAGGGAAACTGTTCAACTGCGAATTATAATGTTTGATTAATACCTAGATGCATATTACATCAAATGGGACTGAACATACTAGTGTAGATATTCTGAAATTAGCATGTACAGAATAAACCACTTATGAACAGTGTTGAGGAAGTTACTTTTAAAAAGCAGTGTAACTCGTTGCTCGTTACTTCTTTAAAAAAGTAATCCGTTACTTTACTTAGTTACCCCATATAGAAAGTAACTTTTTATGTTACTCGTTACTTTTACGTTACTTTTATGTTGCTTGACTTTGGGCAGAACCCAATATCTGTTCCTAAATGTGTTACCCTACATAAAGTTCTACTATGCATAATGCCATATATAATGCCATAAATGCATAATGCATTTATCAAAAATGTTTATATTTATGAAGAAATGCCGGTTAATGGATAGGCATATGCATGGGCGGCGCTAGGGAGGGGCTAGAAAGAAAGCCCCCAAGAAAGACCAAAGCACCCCGTTAGCACCCCCAAAAATCATTTCTGGAAGTAATTATATTCAGGCTGTATTCTATGGAAGTCCTGAACCGCATGGTGAAGAAAAAAAAAGAAAACTTATCTTGTTATTTAGACATAATAAGGGGACATTCTAATCTGCATTAAGCCAAATTAAGCGTTCTTATAATGGTTTTCTATGGGAGGAAAATGCTAAACGTGTAAGTAAACACGTTGCGTTCATATTCTGGGCTCATCTGATTTTTTGTACATAGTATTGCCTACTTTATTATGATTTTAGTATCATAATGATTAATAAATGCACGCACAATTATCCGTGAACTTGATAAATGTTGCAGATATGTTTTACTATGCACGTAAACAAATGCCTTTCAACTTATGTGTGCAAAATTCAGAACTACCGTAAATGAATGTGCAGCAATATACAAATAGAGAGTCTGTAGGCCTACTATAGCCTACGTGTTGTAGCCATTAAATAAGCGCATTTAGTTTCATATTTGTTAAAATATTATAATGTTATTTTTTTTTCATCTATGCTGATTATGAAAAGTGAACAGCGCGAGTAAGATGGATGCACAATATATCGGGAGACATTGAGTCAATCAGACATGATTTTGACCACTTCATTAAGTTTTGTTTTGAAGAAAGCCTTTCTTTAAAGCGAATTTCGTTTTGTATAAATTGTATCTTAATTTTAATCATTTTTTAATCAACCAAATGCCTGGATTTAATAAATAAGAAGCAAATATAGGAGACAATATAATCATGGAAGCACCGGCGTGGTCACTTGCATTGCATGTGAACTGGAGCATCTCATCATAAATTAACCGAAACTCAACGTATAGAATTTAAGCTTGAAATGTCTTTAAACGAAACAATTCAAATCGAAAAGAAATAGGCTACTCTCTGATTATGTAATCCATTATGTGCATTTCTCTCTGGGGCGTTCACTACGGAGATGGCGATCGCGGTCAAATCTATCAAATGACGGAGATCGCTGTCAAATCCCAGGGACAGATAATCTGTCCCTGGGGAAAGTAACGTTGCGCCGAATTGAAAAAGGAAGTACGTTTCGTTACCAAATTTTCAGTAGTAGCGCGTTACACTACTTTTTACCCGAAAAAGTAGTTACGTTACTGTAACGCGTTACACACAACACTGCTTATGAACCTGACCTGTTTCCAAAGCCTGAAGTAACTCCGGTGGTCCAATGGAGGTCTGGCCAGACCGGTAAAGTGGCTCATTCTCCCAGTCTTGAGAAAAGGACAGAGGTCAAAGGTCAGTCTTATAATCTGATGTGTTATGTTAACAAAACCTTAAATTAAACTGTAAATTCCCATTTGTATATGCCCAAAACAACATGGTATTATCACGGTACTCTACAACCATAACATATTTTGTATGCAATGAACTAATTCAAGAAGTGTTATTTTTATGCAAAATAATATTTCATTCATGAAGAAGGAAACATATAATTACTCACTCAAAAATCATAACATCATAACCCCATCCCCCATCCCCCCCATCTTTAGGTGCTAGACTAGTGTTTAACTCTATTTGAATAGTTAAATTAGATAGGTGAGGCAGAGAAGCAAACTCACCCAGTCTCTCTAGAGCCTCCGTCAGCCTGAGCACCACAGCTGGGGTCTGGTCAGGCAGAGCGCACTGCTCTACAACATCTCCCTTTCCACAAGGGCCTGTCAGAGGAGGAGGGAGAGGGAGAGAGACCATGATGAGACATCCCACTGGTGAGACCAAATTCCCTGATAAGGTGGCTCTGCCTTTAAACCCACATCTCATCTCTCCTTAGGGAACAGCCAGGTTGTCATTCTCACAAGCATCGTAGATATGCAACATAACACTCAAGCCTCAACCTTTTACCATTTAAAGTTACATTAAAGTATACATTAACATCAGTTATTACATTATGAGCTCAAATGAACTAAAAATTAACAGTAAAATGCTTAAAAATGGACATTAAAGAGATTTACGTATGCACTGATTAAACACAAAATAAGATATTTTGAAGAATAATGATAACAAAACATTTATGGTTCCCACTGACTTTCATTTTTTTTTTTTTTTTTTTTTTTTTTTTCATACAATGGAAGCCGATGGGAACTGAAACTGAATAGTTACCAACATTCTTCAAAACATCTTCTGTTGTCTCCAACAGAAGAAAGTCATACAGGTTTGGAATGGTATGAGAGTAAGTAAATGATCACACACTGTAATTTTTATTTTTGGGTAGACTATCCCTTTAAAATCCAGTAAAATATCAACATTTTGTCCCAAAGGATTTTTTAAATTCAGTATATGACATGTCCTCCAGCTGACTGAAATACAGTGCATAATGTATCATAAGCACTATTGTCTCTTCCTGTCTCCACTGTCCTTCCACTGAGCAGTGACCTTCTGCTAAGGTTACAGTTGTGGAGAGTGCCCATATATCTCTATATGTAGCCACTTATATGTGTTCAGAATACCACAGATAAAATCCTTGATGGGGTCAGATTTTAAGTTGTGCTGCCCACTTGCAGAGCACAGTGTAAATGATGCCAACCTTTACATGACACCCTGTCTATGTTGTCCTGGGACACTAAACCTGCCGCACATCGCCAGAGTACGAGAATGGTGCGGAGTGGAAGCGGAGCATGTTGTTGTTGTTTTACACTAGACTAGCCTTTAAGACTATAAGCCATTACAATAAATGAAATATGGAATTTGTCAAATATTTACTGACAAAATTATATTCAAATGTAACACTTTAAAATAATTTTCCACAGTAACTGCTTTAGGTATAACAAACTAACAACTGACTTTTTTACAGCATATGTTAATCTAGGTTAATGCCAAATTATTTATATACTGTTGTTCATTAATCATGTTGGTTCATAATAAATTAATATTCAGTTATGCAACTTAAACTGTTAAAAATGCATTAATATAGATTTAGCCAATAAAAAAATGCAGTAAAAGTATTGTTCGTTGTTAGACACTGCATTAACTAATTGAACCTTATTGTAAAGTGTTACCTATTCAAAAAGGTTAAGGTCAGGATGACAAAAAAAAAAAAAAACAGTTTTGTTAACAGAAAATAACAAATGATGCAGTGTTCCATTCACAAATGCAAAAAAGTCTAAAGGTCATATCATAGTAATGCATCACCGTTGTAACTATATGGAAATTACATAAACATGACTTTGTCTGGCAGTCATGATATAAAAGACGAAAACAAATAAATAAATAAAACAAATAAATTAACTTTATTATTGTCATGTTCTTTTATTGTTTCAGTTTCGTTTACATGAACTTTTAGTTGATATAGTATTATTTCCTGTTTCCTTCTGTTGTCCCTATGCATGCCATGCCAGTAGTTGGCGATGTCACTTTGTAAAGAAACACTATGGGCCCTATTTTAACGATCTGAAACGCAAGTGTCAAAGCGTAAAGCGCAAGTAACTTTGTGGGCGGATCCCGGCGCTGTTGCTATTTTCCCGGCGGGATAAATGCCTCTTGCGCCTGGCGCAAATCTAAAAGGGGTTGGCCTGAAGTAGCTTCATTATTCATAGGTGTGGTTTGGGCGTAACGTGAAATAAACCAATCAGAGCGTCATCTCACATTCCCTTTAAGAGCAGGTGCGCTTGTTCTAAAGCGGATTCCTATTATAACGGCAGATTTGCCAGGCGCGCGTCAGGAGCGGTTCACAGCCGAGGAGAGCAGCGTTCTCGTCAGAGAAGTGACATTGGGGATGGAGAAAGCCACCCAAATTAACTTCTGTTAAACAGGCGTATGATAATTTGGGTAAATGTGTAAGCTACATGCTTTTATAATAAATTGTCTATCTATCTATCTATCTATCTATCTATCTATCTATCTATCTATCTATCTATCTATCTATCTATCTATCTATCTATCTATCTATCTATCTATCTATCTATCTATCTATCGTAATAATGTATGATTTGCAAAAATGAAAACTGCTGCTTAGATGAGAGAATCAACGTGTATGCGCGTTGTGCACACGCTACATTGATTATGGCCAAGCATGCGCCCTTAAAATAGCATAATGAACAACGCGCAACGCGCCACTGACTTTAGACTAGTTTTTTTCTGGTCAGTGGCGCAATTGTTTTATAGAACAGCAAAATAGCATGAGGGAAAGTTTGCGCCGGAACACGCCTCCTCTTTGCGCTGAACCGCCCCGGGGAGCGCAAGTGTATTTCTTAGTTAACCGACGTGCGTCTGTGGAGGGAAAACCCCGCTTTGCGCGGGTGCAAAATAGGAATGATACATGCGTCAGTGTACAAAGTCATTTGCGCCGAGTGCAAGATAGGGCCCTATGTGCCTATAGACTGAACACGTAATATGCATTCGCATGATGCCACTGTTTTCACAAATTTTTGTTGACAATAACGTTACAATAACGTTATCGTTTTCAAAAACTTGCACTTTGAAACCTATTATCAAAAGTTTGAATTTTCAGACCTCCAAAACACCGTTGACGTGTAAATGAACAGCCAAAATGCATAAAAGGTTTTCCGTTTTTAGTTGAAAATGGTGTCCCCTAGTTTGTTCAGCTCATTTTCTGGTGTTGACTGTGCTCTAGCACAATGCTGAATTGTTTCTTGTGTTGGATTATTTCCCTTTGGTTTTGTAAAATAAAGTTAAGCTGCAAATTAGATCTGTTTCGCTTCTTGTTTTCTTCCTTATCCTGAATGTTACAGCTATATAGAGAACTCAGGGAGGGATTTATTTCACCTGTGAGCAGGAAACTGAATTGACATATACCAACATAGTTAAACTCGTTTACATCAGTGTGTGTTTTATAAAGCCATCGGGTGACAATTGGACAGATAATCTATCCATTTACATCGAATTTCCATTTGCGTAAGAATGAGCGCATTGATGAGAAATTCTGACGGAAGATGTTTTTGCTCCATTATGTGAATGATGAGGTCCATGAAACTGTAGTGCTCTTGTAGTGCTGTTTGCAGACTCTTGTGAATTATCGTCAGTGACAACACTAATTAGCACTGATGTACCACCTGCTATTGTCTACACAGATACCCGTACTATCTTTAGTTTTTCTTTCTGTAATTAGAAAATGGCTGTTTATTTAACAGAATCTCACACACAAGCATCTGTTGACAGCAGGAAAAGTTTGTGTTCCCATGCTTGGGTGTAATTGGTGCACTAATCTGCACAGCAGTGGCCCCTTGTACCCCGCTGCAATTTTCGCACAGGAGAATCACGCTACGAGGTGGCAATAGGTTTCTGTGCTGCGCTGATTTAGGTTTTGTATGTTAAAGCCCCATGATTAAAGTTTAGTTTAAGAGTCAATCAGATCGGACACTTTAAATCTAACCAGACGTATCAAGCATCTGCAGCAAAAGGAACTGATTAGACTCATCATTACTCTTGACCTACCATATGCAAATGTATGTAAGTTGCTGTGATACTTTAGGAACAGGAAAGAGGGAGATGATAGTGATTAAAAATAAAAAAAACAGAAAGATTAATGAGAAGTTCCTCTGAGGTTTTGATGCAGGTGGCACAAAGACTTCAGAGGCTCGAGATTACACACGTTAACGGCGGAGCGCATTGGTATTCCAACAACACACGGTGCATTTAATTGCTCCACATCCTGCTGGTTTCTCTATGGACCTCGACAAGCGACGCCTTATGAATGAGCAAACAGGTCACAGCACGATGGGAGGAATCATAATTCTCTCTCTCTCTCTCTCTCTCTCTCTCTCTCTCTCTCTCTCTCTCTCTCTCCCTTGTTCCTTTTGTTTTAGAAGCCTCACATTCCTATATAGTAGGAAGTATAATAGTATAATAGTCCTATATAATAGTTGGTGAGCTAAGATTTGTAAGAAAGAAGATTTATGTGGACCTGTGTGTAACTATATAGTGCAAAATAGCGTAACTGAAGATGTAGGAGTGATATTTTAAGTTAGATGGCTCGCTGATGAATTGTAGTTGCAGTAAAATTATGTGAACCCTTTACCATGGATTTCTGTGGAAATTGGCCATACAATTTAATCTGATCTTCAACAGTCTGCTTTAATAAGACACAATGATACATTTTTGTGTCTTTATTGAACACAATGTGCAAACATTCGCAGTGGAGGGTGGAAAACATATGTCTGAATAATGTATTTTATAATATTTTTTAATATTATGTTTTTATAATTGTTTTGATTTAAGCATTTGTCTGTTGAAGCAAGTAAGATCAATTTTTATGACTAATTCATGCAGAAATGCATGTAAACTGTATTATGTAAATGATTATGCACACTCTAAATCACTATGAAAACACGTATGGTAGTGTACAGTACCGTTTCATTTGTTTTAAATCTGTATCTGAAGTGTCCCGCTCTGTGCAGCATGCAGTCTCACGTGTCAAAACAAACTCCACAAAGCATCAGTAGCCATGTTTCCATCCACTTGTCAATCGAATTATCTGAAGTTCGGTAAAAAAACTCATGCGAATAAAGCTGGTGAAAGTGTGTTTCCATCAAACGGCTTTAAAGCGGATAAAAACCTGTGCGTAATGACGTCACATGCTGTTTTGCGATCAAATTGGTATATCGAATTGATTTGAGACATGTTAAGGTGTTTCCATTCATTTTCTCACCGAATTGCACAACATTCAAGCCAACATTTGCGAACAAAGTTTTACTAGGTAAAA